TCAGGCAATCCACTCACCTCGGCCTCCCAAAGCGTGGGATTACAGGTTGAGCCACCGAGCTCGGCCCTCTCTTTTTGAATCAGAGTCTTACTCTGTTGCCTAGGCTGGAGTGCAGTGGCACACTCATGGCTATCACAGCCTCAATCTGCTGGGCCCAGGCAATCCTTCCACCTCAGCTTTCCAAGTAGCTGGAACCACAGGTATGCATCACTGCATCCAGATAATTTTTTGGTTTATGGTACAGATGAGGTTTCGCCAAATTGCCCAGGATGGTCTCAAACCATGGGCTCAGGCAATCCTCTTGCCTCCACTTTCCAAAGTTTTGGGATTACAGATGCGGGCCACTGTGCTTCGTGTGGAACACACTTTTCAAGGTTCTGCTAGAGGACTCCCCCCACTCTAAGATCCTGTGAGCTTGGGGTTTTAGAACATGGAAGGGGCTGCTTTTCTCCTTAATTCCTGGATTCTAAGACATTTCAGGTATCTGAATTTGGCAAGAGAGCTAAGGCTGAGGGAAGGTCCCTGGTGGGGCCCATTTTCCCTGGGAAGCCCAGTTTGCCCTCACACAGGTGTGTTTAGCTCCAGGAGGATCTGCCCAAAAGGGGGAAGTCACCCAAGCAAAACTAGACTCTTCCTGGGGTCTTTGTTCCTGTCACTCCAGATAAACTATGGGTGTTCCACGTGAGCACCTGAGTCCTTCCCCTCCTTTCTCGCCTTCTCCAGGTCATGCCTCCAGCATTCCCTCCTCTCTCCACTCCACATCCATCTTCAGCTTCTGCCCCACTTATCTGATCTTCTTACAGCAAACTCTTGAAGAGCTGTCTCCACTCGCTGTCTCTTCATCCTGTCCTTCTTGACCTCACCGCTCCACAGCAGCAGCTTGAGAGTGTCACCACTGACCTCCAAATGATCACCCCTCCTGGGACCCAGTCTCTCAGTAAGGTTGAGATGGTGGGCCAGGCCTTACGTCTCAACACGCTCTCTTAACCCCAGGTCATTACCCTCTCCTGGTTTCTCTCACTTCTCTAGGGGCTCCTTCTCAGTCTCCTTTGCTAGCTCCTCACACCTTCCTGAGCTCTCAAGTTGGAGGGACCAGGACTTCTCTCTCTCTCTTTTTCTTTTTTTTTTTAAGAGATAGGGTCTTGCTCTGTTGCCCAGGCTGGAGTGCAATGGTGTGACTCTAGATAGCTCACTGTAACCTTGAGCTCCTGGACTCAAGCAATCTTCCTGCCTCAGCCTCCGGAGTAGCTGAGACTACAGGCACACACCATCATGGCTGACTAATTTTTTTTGTAGAGAACAGTTCTCACTATGTTGCCCAGGCTGGTGTCAAACTCCTGGTCTAAAGAGATCCTCCCACCTCACCTCCCTAAGTGCTAAGATCACAGGCATGAGCCACTGCGCTGGACTCTTCTCTTTTCTATCTGCACTCACTTTATCCAGTCAATAGCTTGAAATACCATCTATAGCCAGAGGGTTCCAACTTGGGTCTCTCTTCTGAATTCCAGATCTGTATGTTCAACTTCCAGTCCGACATTGCCATTCTGATGTCTACTTGGCACCACAAACCTAATGTCCCAAACTAAACCCCTCATCTTCCCCTATGACAGCTGATCTGGGCAGAAACCTTGGTTATCCCTCATCACCTTTTTTCCTCATACCTACACCAAATCATAGGTGAATTTTGTAGGTTTGCCTTAAAATACATCCAGAATCCCCCCATCTCCACTGCTCCCCACTCTGGTCTGAGTCACCACCATCTCCCCATTTCCCCCATTCTCCCTAGTCTACACTGCAGTCACAAGTTTTGTTAAAACACATTGGGATCATGTTACTCCTCTGCACAAAACTTTCAATGGCTCCCACCTTATTCACAAAGCCCTACTTGAGTGGCATTCCTCCCCACTATCTCTGACCTCCTGTCTTTGTAGGAATCCAGCCACACTGGCCTCCAGACTGTTCTTCAAACATGTCAGGCAAGCTCTTGCCTCAGGGCCTTTACCCCTGCTGTTCCTCATGCTTAGTATGCTCTTCCTTTTGGTATCTTCAGGGTTTGTTCCCTACCTTCAGATCTGTATTCAAATGTCACCTTCTTAGTGAGGCCTTTCCTGACTGTCCAATGTAAGACTGCAACTCTCTCCAGTACACTGTATTTCCTTCCTCAACTAAATCTTTCTCTACATCATTTTGCCATATATTTTACTTAATTATCTTGTTCATTTTCTGTCTCTGCCACTAGAATGTAAATGCCATTAAAACAGGGCTTGGATTGCCTGAGTCCGCGGGTTCGAGACCTGCCTGGGCAGCGAGACCTCATCTCTACAGTAAATCAAAAAATCAGCCAGGCGTGGTAGCGCGTGCCTGTAATTCCGGCTACTTGGAAGGCTGAGGCGGAAGGATCACCGGAGCCCAGCAGGTCGAGGCTGTGGTGGCTGGGAGCGGCCACTGCACTCCAGTCTGAGGGACAGAGTGAGATTCCAACTCAAAAAAAAAAAAAAAAGCAGGGCTTTTTTTTTTGAGTCAGAGCTTCACTGTCACCTAGGCTGGAATACAGTGGCATGCTCACAGCCATGGCAGCCACAACGAGCTGGGCTCAGGTGATCCTTCTACCTTTATTTGTGAACAGTGAATAATTTTATTTGGGAATAATTTTTGATTTATTGTAGAGACGAGGTCTCACCAAGTTGCCCAGGCTGGTCTAGGCAACCCCTGGAATGCCAGTCCCTGGGCTCAGGCAGTCCTCTAGCCTCTGCCTCCCAAAGTGTGAGCCACTGCGCCAGGCTAGGGCTGGGATTTTTATCTGTTTTGTTCATGCCTAGAACAGTATTTAGCACAAATACATACTGTTCACAAATAAAGGAATCAATGAAAACAGATTTTGAACCTACGTAAAAGGTAATCCCCAAGTGAGGGGACTGATGTTTTTATGCAGGTGATCTCCAGGCCCACCTTCAGAGGCATATTTACCTGACTCAGAAAGTTAATCTAGTTTGAGATATTTAGCTAGAGGAAGGGGATGCTTGCCATATAGGTAAGACCTGCCCCAATCATAGGATATGTACTCCTGTGGAGAGATATGTATCCCAATCAAAGGAGTATTTACTCAGTGAGGTGGGTGTAGGGGAGATATTTCTCAACCCAGGAGGGGACCTTTCACCTTCAATCTGAGGAGTATTTATGTTGTTGAAAGATCCACCAGTCTAGGGCAGGGGTCCCCAACCCCTGAACCGCAGAGCAGTTCTGGTCCATGGCCTGTTAGGAACAGACCCCACAGCAGGAGGTGAGTGGCAGCAAGTGGAGCTCTGCCAGCTTGTCAGATCAGTGGTGGCATCAGGTTCTCATAGGAGCATAAACATTATAGTGAACTGCTGCAAGCAAGGAATCTAGGTTGTACAGTCCTTATGAGAATCTAATGCCTGATGACCCCCACCACCCCCTCCGTGGAAAAACTGTCTTTCACAAAATCGGTTCCTGATGCCAAAGAGGTTGAGGACCGCTGGTCTAGGGAGTGGTGGAGATCTGCCATAGTACAGGATATTTAGGCAAATAAACAGGTTTACATCAGTCTGAGATGTATGGACCCAGGGTGTGTGTGTGGGAGGCGGAATCTAGTCAATTCTGGCAAGGTAATTTTCCCTATTCTTTTTTTTTTGAGTGGGAGTCTCACTCCGTTGCCCAGGTTGGAGTGCAGTGGCACGCTCACGGCCACCACAGCCTCGACCTACTGGGGTCAGGTGATCCTTCCGCCTCAGTCTTCCAAGTAGCTGGAACCACAGGCATGTGTCACCACGACCGGCTAATTTTTAAAAATTTATTATAGAGATGGGGTCTTCCCATGTTGCTCAGGCTGATCTCGAACCCCTGAGCTCAGGCAATCCTCTCGCCTCCGCCTCCCAAAGAGCTGGGATTACAGGCTTGAGCCACCGCGCCCGGCATTTTCCCTATTCTTAAATATTCATTTTTAGAAGGGCGGTCTGCTCCTCCTCTCATCCTGAGAGACATCTACCAGGCTGGATCTATCTTCTCCCTTCTAGTCTGGAGGAAGAGATGTGTGTACCCCAGCGTATCTAGTAGTATCCAACCGGATGAGACAGTTACCAGTTAGAATCACCAAGAGATGGGCACTCCGTTGCACAGTACACAGCAGTCGCTCTCCAACAAAGACCTGAGTAAACGGGATCCGGGCAGTACTTACCTTGCATGAAAGAAGCAGAGCCATCCGGCCGCGACAGCAGGTTCTGTTCGCAGGCCAAGTGCCTGAGGCTGCAACCGGGGCCCCGAGGGCTGGACTCTGTTCCAGGCTCCGTGTGAATCTTGGGATCAGCATGCATCACCCCCTCCATCACGCCTGGTCCCATGTGCGACTGCGACTGCGACTGTTGCTTCCGCCCAGTAGCGCGCGCTTGCGTACAGGCTGTAACCAGTGCGCATGCGCACACCTGGGCCACCCGAATTGGCGCCCGCACGTGGTTTAGCGTTTACCAACAATTTGGCTCCGCCCACTCCCGCCTCCTAATCCAGGCAAAGCCATTGGACGGCGGAGAAGAGGGGCGGGCCTCGGTTTGCACTTGTTTTACCCGAGGTCCCCGGGCCCTAAACCCCTGAGGCCCTGGTCAGGTTGTCATCTTCATTGCCTGCTACAAAAGCAACTACAATGAGGCAGTCGAAGTAAATTTTGCCAAGATAGATTGTCTTCTCCATCATGATAAGCGTCCTGTCTACCACTGGGCCGAAAGAAGATGGTTTTCTTGTGAACGTGGTGCCGGCATTTGAGTCAGGCTCATAAAGGGGCAGCCCTCAGTCTATCCTAGGCGAGGGGCGGATCACCTAGTGGTTATTGGCCAAGATGGCGGTAGCGATCGCTGCGGGCTGGGCCTGGAGGCCAAGCCGAGGCTTGGGTCAGGCTGCCCTCCTGCTGCTGCGGCGGCCTGGGGCTCGGGGGCTGGCTACATCTGTGAGTACCTGGGGCCCCAGGGAGCTTTCCCTAAGGCAGAGTAAAGGATCCCTGCAGATCAGAGTGTGGGATTCCTGCAGGGTGTGAAGGAAGCGGCTGTCACAGAAGGGAAAAGGATTGGGAGAGGACACTCAAGGGAAGGACTTCCACTTCCTTAGGAGGGGAAAAGCGAGGCAGCCCCTTTGTGGGTCCTGAGGGAGGGAGACGATCTGGAGGAATGGGGGTTCCTCGCTAGTTGCCATCTATCTCCGGAGGAGGCCTCTTGGAGGGACAGGGGAGGGCGGCGAGGTCTTTTCCCTCAGGGTTGGAGTATGAGACCGACTTTGTAAGGGGGAGACTTTCTTCTGGGGAAAGAACCCTCTTCAAAGAGGAGAAAGGCGAGATTAGGTCCCCGTGACGGGCTTTTATAGGACCCTGCATTTCTTTGTTCCGTTGCCACAATTCTAATTTTGAAATTAATTGTATAATTGTTTGATTCCTGTGTCTCTGATCGGATGTCAAGACAGGGATTTCGTGTATTCTGGACACTATACAGAGGAAGGAGATGATTAGTAAGTATTAGTTGGACTAATGACGGGAAGAAAAGGAATGAGAGAGGTCCAGACAGGACACTTTGCCCACATTTATTAGAAAGACTTGAGAAAGCTTTGCTTCTTGCCAAAAGGGTCAGAATCCCTTAAGGTGGATACTGCTAAGGGCAAGATCGCATTGTGAAAAATCTAGTTGGAAGCCCCTGTTTAGAGGGGGAAGAGGCGGTGGGCTGCAGAAGCACTTTGAATTAAAATTTGACAGGTGAGAGTAGTGGTTAAGTGGATGGGTTTAGATTCCTGCTGAACTACATTCTAGTTAGGTAGCCTTGGGCAAAGGACAACACCTCTCTGGACCCAATTTCCATCTGCAAGATTCTAACAGTGGTCACCTCGTATGGTTGTTGTGAAAATGTAATATGTAAAGTGTTAAGAACTGGACTTGGCACAGCATAAGGGCGATAGGAATGTTGGTCAGTGTTGATAGTGAAGGTGGAGGGAAGGGACAGAAACTGACCTTGGACATGGAGAGAAGAAAGGAAGTGTCCTTGGGAGGACTTGGGTTGGGGGGTGATAGAACAAGATCTTGTGGGATTGGGGGTGATCCTTTGATCCCCAATCCACAAAGAAGGGAAGATGGAATCTGTAGAACCGGGGAAGATGGTGAAGAGGATGGGCCAGGAGTGGGGCATGGGTGCCTAGGAAGGGAGTCATTTAAGGCAGGTAAATGCAGAAGGTTGCAGGAGCAGTGTGGGGGTAGGGTAGTTTCCTGCATTTGGGCAGTTTCCTTTCTGCTCTTTTTTTTGGGGGGGGAGAGGGGGCCATTAGTTCCTCACAGCTGATCTCAGTCCCAGGAGCCCATTGGCTGGGCATTTGAGGCGTGAGGTGGGCAGGACTGGGGCAGGCTAGGGAAAGGCAGAGGTCATTCATGGCTGATTAAATCTCTCCCTCCTGGCTCAGTGTCCCTGTTGCCTGCCTTTCCTCTTGCCTCCTGAAGGGGAGAAGTAGCTACTTTTCATTTAGTTACATACTTTAAAGTTTGTATTTTTCACTGTTTTTCTCCCTCACTTGTGTTTCTCCCACCTGTTTTAAAATTTAAAAAGCCACTGCTTTTTGAATGGAGGGAACAGATAGTAGCATTTAGTCAAAAAAGATTTTAAACCAGGGCTGTCCAAAATACATTTTTTTCAATAATGGAATTATTTTATATTTGCACTGTCTGGTACAGTAGCCATTAGTCATACGTGGCTATTGAACACTTTAATTTTTTGAGTCAGAGTCTCACTCTGTCACCCAGGCTGGAGTGCAGTGGCATGATCACAGCTTACCACAGCCTCAAACTCCTGGACTCAAGTCATCCTCGTACCTCAGCCACCCAAGTAGCTGGGACTACAGGCATGTACCACCTAATTTTTTTGGGGGGATGGAGTCACCCAGACTGGAGTGCAGTGGCACACTCACGGCCACCCCAGTAATGACCTGCTGGGCTCTGGCGATCCTTCCGCCTCAGCCTTCCAAGTAGCTGGAACTACAGGTGCATGCTACCACACCTGGCTAATTTTTTATTTATTGTAGAGACGAGGTCTCGCTAAGTTCCCTGGGCTGGTCTTGAACCCATGGACTCAGGCAATCCACTTGCCTCGGCCTGCTAAAGTGCTGAGATTACCTGCTGAGCCATAATTTTTTAAATTTAATTTTTATTTCTTTGTGGGACAGTGTTTTGCTATGTTATGTAGGCTGGTCTCGAACTCCTGGGCTCAAATAATCCTCCTACCTCAGCCTCCAGAAGTGCTGGGATTACATGCTTGAGCCACAGCACCCAACTGGAACACTTTAAATGTGGCTAGTGGGACTGAACAATTGAAATTTTAATATTCAGTTTTAAATTTAAGTTTAAGTAGCCACAAGTGCCTGGTGGCTGCCAAGTAGGTTGGTGCAGTTTTATTAAAGTGGAAGTAAAGATAGTGATGGGGGTGGAGATGGAGCTTGGGAGAATATGTGGTTTTGGACAGATTGGATTACTGCAATTTACTGGGACAGGTCTGAATAAGAGGAGGGGCGAGGCTTTCTTACTCTGTCCCTGCCTTCTTGCCCCTCCTCTGCCCTCCCCCTTAATTGAATACCCTGCTCCCTCAGGAGGTTTTTGCCTGATTTCCACCTTCCTTCCTCTTCCTGCTATAAAGCAGATGTTTTAGTACTCAGGGAGAAGAGGAGGAAGGAAATTCAGATTGTTAAGGAACTGTGAGTCAGTTTTCTCAGCCAGGCCTGGGCTTGGTCAAGCCATTTCACCCCTCTGACCCGCACAAGTGGGGTGCATAAAGTCCCTATCCTGTTGGAAGTCAGGGGTTACCTAGCGCTTGGTCTGTTCTAATTATCAGGCTCTTTATTTCTTGAACCAGCTGCTCAGGGGAAGCCTGCCTGGGGGTTTCAGTGCCCTGTGTGGTATCTCCAAGTGGCAGGTATCCAGTGTGTATTGTGGAATGAATGGAGATGGTCATTACAGATCTAATCATATGGGTCCACCTCCTCCTTGCTAATGTCTTCAGAAACTTGGCTTCTTTTTTCATATCATGAAGTATTTCATATCATGGTTTACAATGCCAACTCACAGCCATTATTCTATTTGGTTTTTTTTCTTTTTCTTTCTTTCTTTTTTTTTTTTGAGTTGGAGTCTCGCTCTGTCGCTCAGACTGGAGTGTAGCGGCATGCTCACGGCTACCACAGCCTCAACCTGCTGGGCTTAGGTGATTCTTCTGCCTCAGCCTCCCAAGCAGCTGAAACTATAGGTGTGCACCACCACGCCCGGCTAATTTTTCTTTATTTATTGTAGAGACGAGGTCTCACCAAGTTGCCCTGGCTGGTCTTGAACCCCTGGGCTCAGGCAATCCTCTCGCCTCGGCCTCCCAAAGTGTTAGGATTACAGACTTGAGCCACTGTGCCCAGCCAAGAAAATGGTTCTTATGAAGCACTTACTCCATATACCAAGCATGCAGTAAGAGCTCAAGAAATGGGAGCTGCTGCTTTTCTTCAGGGCCAGTGAATCTGGTGTGGTCATGAGTGATTCAGGAAAATGCCTTCTCTTGGGGCTTTTTGGTGCCTGGGGGAGCCTAGTGCTGCTGGAGCCTTGGACCCTGGGGCCCAAGAATGCCTGACTAATCTTCACACCTCTCCCTCCAACCAGATGTTCTGGGAGGGGGAGGCCCAGCCCTTTGCCATTTGAGAGCAGAGTGCCTGGGAGCTCAGGAGAGAGTGGGCTTTGGTGATTGTAGCTGTCCTAGATATGGAAGGCTCAGAGTTACCTTGCACCATCTATAAAGCCTTCCACGCTCTGGACCCAACCTTTCTTCCAGCCTCCTAGGCAGTGGTAGTCAGGCTGCGGGCTGCACATGCTAGTGTTGCTACTCATGATCTGTGTGGCTCTGGACCCCTCTGAGCCTCAGATATCACCTCTTCTGGATGGAGAGGTGGTAATAGGCATGCCCACCTGGATTCTGTATGGGTTTGGTGAGCACATGCGCATAAACAAAGTGCTTTAAGTGGCACCGAGGCACGTAGTTACTCTTGTTATTAACCTGGTCTGGCTGTGCTGGTCTTGTGTCCCAGGGTGGCAGTCATTTTCTCGCTGGGACTGAAGCGTTTTGACTCCTAGCCTCTGCCTGGCTCATTCCTACCTGTCCAGCAGGCCCCGGCTAAACTCCTCCCTCTTCAGGAAATGTTTTCTGGCGCTCCATCTGATGCTAGCTAGTGAAATGTTCCTCTTAGTGCTACAAGCCTGTGAGGGTGATGTTATCTCCATGAAGCAATACAGGTTCAGGGATGCTGGCTCCTGCCCAGCTCTGCGTGGCTGGAAGGGACAGAACCAGGATTTGAACACTAGCAGCTGGGCTCTAGAGTCCCTCATCCTACCCACCTGGTGGTTACCAACTATGATGCATCCTGCCTCCTCTGAGATCACTTCTCTTTTTCTTTTTTTTTAATAATTTTTTTTTAAGATAGAAGTGAGGTCTCACATTGTTGCCTAGGCTGGTCTCGAACTCCTGGGCTCAAGCTATGATCTGCCTCAACCTCCTAAAGTGCTGGGATTACAGGTGTGAGCCACCATGCCCAGCCTTTTTTGTTTGTTTGTTTAGTTTGGTTTTTTTTTTGAGTTGGCGTCTCACTCTGTCACCAAGGCTGGAGTGTAGTATCACCATCACGGCTTACTGCAGCCTCAACCTCTTGGGCTCAGGCAATCCTCCTGCCTCAGCCAACCTGAGTAGCCGGGACTACAGTCACATGCCACCTCCCCCAGCTAATTTTTGCTTTTTTGTAGAGACGAGGTCTCGCTATGTTGCCTAGGCTGGTCTTGATAATTCTTTTTTTCAATTTAAAAATTTTGCTTTACTTATTTTTCTAGGTGAGTCAAGTGAAGCAGGGGGAAGAAGATCTCCCTCTTGGTTATAACTTGTGTGCTCAGTGTTTCTCATTCATTCCTCCCTGACTCCAACCCTCAGTTCAGGGCTGACTTGGAACAAATGTTCAGCATCTACCTGTTTGAAAGAACAGTCATCAAATACACTCATGTTTGTGAAGTGTTTATGTGCCAGACACTGGGCTGAGCAATCTAATCCTCATGATAACCCACGAGATAAGTATTCATACCACCCTCGGTATACACAGGAGGAAACTGAGGCTCAGGGAGTTTCTATTTTTAAAAATTTTACTTATTTAATTTTTTTTAGAGTAGTGGTCTCACTACGTTGCCCCAGCTGGCCATGAATTCCTGGGCTCAAGGGATCCTCCAGCCTCAGCCCTCCAAGTAGCTAGGACTAGCAGTTTGTGCTATTGTATGGGGCTCAGGGAGTTTTAGTTTCACAATCAGGAGATGGGGACTGCTGGAAGTCCATGTGTTAACCGTGGTGCCTCAGGGAGTGTCCTGCTGAGCATTTAGGATTCCCACAGGCCTCCTGGGTTTTTCCAGCCTTGCCTCACCTGATCTGAGGGGTGTGATGTCCTCACAGGACTCCTCCAGTCACTCTGAGCTCCTTCCAGCTCCCATGAAGAATATGCCATTCCTCACTTTTCCACAGGGGCCACCCGGGTACCTGCTGGGCAGTCTGGACCATCTAGAGCAGGCAGGTGGTGCTTTCCTGTGCGGTGGGAGAAGACAGAGCTTGAAGGCTTTGTGTAAATCTGTGCGGCATTCTCCATTCATTGTAAATCCCCAGCCACCAGGATGAGTCCCCCCACCCCCACCAAAAATAGAAGAAAAAAAATGGGTGGAGTCACATCCTTCCTCTGCAGCATCTGACCACCCACTCACTCCCCGATGGAGTGTTTCATCAGGACCAGGCGCCGTGCTGAGCCCTTTGTGAACTCCATGAATCCGTGCAGTAACCCTAGGGTAGGGACGATCATTATCTCCACAGCTCTGGAAAGAAGGGAGAGGAGGGCACAGCCCATGCCCAACTCCAGTACATGGGGCACATGGTCCCCCCAACTAGCTCTCCCGCTTCCAGAGGCAGACATTCTGCCCTGACACCTGGTGTGTTCTCAGACCCTGTCTTTCTGATCCCTGCTGACCCCTAGCCTCCCTTCTTAGTGCTCCTCTGCAGACTTCAGTCCTGTTCTCCTGGCACATTGTCTTTTCTGTGCCTCAGTCTCCCTCTTGGCCAGCACAGTTTGTTTTAGAATCCACCTTAAGGTGCAGTCAGTCCTTCTCCCCGCCTCCTTTTCTTCTCATCTTCTGCCTAAGTGCCAGCCATTTCTATTTCTCCCACGTCCTTACCTTCCTAGGTTTTGTTTTTCTCCCTTCTGCCAGTTTTTGAGCATATGACGTGTCCCAGACCTGTGCCAAACCCCTTTGGGCACGTTATCTGAGGAGCTTTTCACCCAGCTCTTTGCAGATGAGGAAATGCAGAGAAACAAAGCGTTTTGCAGAGAACCACATGGGTAAGACATTGGAACCCAGGCCAGTTGGACTGCAGAGCCAGTGACCTTAACCACTCATGTGTTCATTCAGTCATTTCCTGTTCAGTGCCTGCCCGTGAAGGCAACCTGGACGCTATCCTTGCCTTCCTGGAACTGTGTGTGTGGGACACAGACATGAGACAAAGGAATCTTCTAGATAAATACATCGTTTCGCCATGCTCAGGAGGCAGAAGTACTGCAAGTGCGGCAAGAGGCCGGCCGCTTCCTCCTTGCAGGGCAGGGGAGGTGAAGCCTGCCATGAGGTTGTCAGGCCTGAACCTGCCCTGCCGGGGGGGGAGTATAATTTCCTCACAACCACAAATGCAAATAAACGCACACACATTACACCCTACCCTGTTGAAAGCTTGGATGGCTTGTTCAGTGCAGTTAAAGAAAGAGGGGACACACTTGAGCACCCATGTGTGAGATCCAGCTCCGGCAAGCCTGGCCCTTTCAGCTTCTGATGGATATGAAGCTACAATTACTGAGCTAAGAGGAATCTGGGAGTGGTGGGAAGAAAAGACGCAGATGTATGAAAACAGCATGTAGCTGGGCTTGGTGGCTCAACCTGTAGTCCTGCGCCTTTGGGAGGCTGAAGTGAGTGGATTGCCTGAGCCCGCGGGTTCGAGACCCGCCTGGGCAACAAGACCTCATCTCTACAATAAATCAAAAAATCAGCCGGTGTCATAGCGCGCCCCTGTAATTCCGGCTACTCGGAAGGCTGAGGCGGAAGGATCGCCAGAGCCCAGCAGGTCGAGGCTGCGGTGGCCGGGAGCGGCCACTGCACTCCAGTCTGGGCGACAGAGTGAGACTCCAACTCAAAAAAACAAACAAACAAAAAAGAAAACAGCATGTGCAGTGACAGCTGGGGTTGGAGCATGGGTTTTGGGGTCTGAGTCTCAACCCTGCCCACTTTTGGAGCCCAGTCCTGACACATTTTTTTTTGGATTTGTGGCCTGGTGCAGGTTGCCTTACCTCCCCAAGCCTCGGTTTCCAAATCTTCTCAAGGGCAATAGCACATCCCGCCTCACAGGTTCTCTGAGGACTCAGTAGGATCCTGCACGCGAGGCTCAGCCTGGCACACAGCAAGTGCTTCATAAGGGAGCTGTTGTACCATCAGAGTTCAGGAGCTGAGGGATCTAACCGGTCCATGTCCTGCTGAGCATTTGAGCTTCCCACAGGCCTCCTGGGCTTTTCCAGCATGCCTCATCTGATCTGAGGGGTGTGATGTCCTCACAGGACTCCTCCAGTCACTCTGAGTTCCTTCCAGCTTCCACGAAGGACATGCCATTCCCCACGTTTTCTTTTGCGTGTTCCACTGCCTGGAATGCTCTTTCTTTAACTCCTGGTTATCCTTCACCTCTCACATCATATCCCAATAGAAGTCACGCCCTCTTTTCCCTCTGTTATAGGACAATATGAATCACCCTCATTGTTATTGTTTAGCGTTCGTCTTCTCACAGCAAGGACAGATGTCTTGCCTATCTTAGGTCCCCAGAACCCAGCATAGGGCTTGGAACAAGGCAGGTGCTCAAATATTTGTTGAGTGAGTCATTCTGTGCTCTAGCGGGGAGCTGGAACTGGAGTAGAAAGGGCAGTGAAGCATGTGTAGCAGTTTGCCCGCCAGTGGGGGAAGCAGCTTTGTAGTAATGAAATGAGAGCAGGGATGGGTTGTAATAGCCAGGATTTGTTTGAGCATTTGCTGTATGACTTACAGACTTTCTGCGGAACACATTTGTTTTTTTGAGCTGAGGTCTTGCTCCGTTGCTCAGGCTAGAGTGCAGTGGCATAATCACGACTCACCGCAGCCTCAACCTCTGGGGCTCAGGTGATCCTTCCACCTCAGCCTCCCGAGTAGCTGGGACTACAGGCACATGCCATCACACCTGGCTAATTTTTGAATTTTTGTAGAGATGAGGTCTCACTACGTTGCTTAGGCGGGTCTTAAATTCCTGGGCTCAAGCAATCCTTCCACTTTGGCCTCCCAAAATGCTGGGATTACAGGCATGAGCCACTGAGCCCGGGCTGCTGAATATTTTATATGCATGATCTCATTTAAGCCTCACACATTTCCATGAGGTCTTCTCCATTTTGCATACAGGGAAAGGAGCACATGAAGAGGGAAAGTCACTTTGCTCTGTCACCGAGTAAGGGATTGGAACCTAGGCAGTCTGACTCTTAAGAACTCAAAGACTGCACCTCATCAACAAGGGTAACTGTACAATGAATATTTGTATACCTAACCCTTAACTGTACCCCACAATTTTAAAATAAAAAAATTAAATAAAAGAACTCAAAGACTTAAGTTCTATTTTGGGTGACCTCCCTGATGTATGGTATAGGAGTCAGTAAAGAGCCCCTCTGGCTATTTAGAGAGTGCCATGCAGGGGAGTATGTGCCTGTGGTAGCAATGGGAGAGAGAATAGAGGGCATCTGTAGCCAGACCGGAGAGGCCTTGAATGCCAGGATGAAGAGTTTGGGCCTGTGGTAATGAGGATAATAATAACTGCCAGTTCCTGAACTGCCTCCTACTTCACTGAGTCATTTAATGTTACAACAGCCCTATGTGATCGATGTTACCATTTGCATACCCATTTTTCAGATGAGGAAACTGAGACATAGAAGTTGTAGTCACTTGCCCAAGGTATCACAGTGAGAAGGTGGTGGAGTTGGGGTTCAAACCCTGTGAGTCAGGCCTTGAACTTCCCTGGCACCATGGCAGCGTAACCAGTGTGCTGTCCTGCCTGCCACTGTAGTGAAGCAGCAGGAACTTCGGTGCCGCTCCTGACTTGGGTGTCCCCTCTGCCCTCTCTCCCCCAGCACTCCCACAGGCAGCAGCAGCAGCAGTTCTCATCTCCAGGTGACAAGCCCCAGTTCCCAGGGGCCTCGGCGGAGTTTATAGACAGGCTTGAGTTCATCCAGCCCAATGTCATCTCTGGAATCCCCATCTACCGCGTCATGGACCGGCAGGGCCAGATCATCAACCCCAGCGAGGATCCCCATGTGAGAGGCCACTTTCCCCACTTCCCATGCCCCCCAGGTCCCTTGCTCGTCTCCTCTGGTCCCAACTGCCCCATGTCTGTCTGTACCTCCATCTACAGCTGCCCCAGGAGAAGGTGCTGAAGTTGTACAAGAGCATGACGCTGCTCAACACCATGGACCGCATCCTCTACGAGTCTCAGCGGCAGGTGCATGGGCACAGGCCTGGGCAGGGGGGCTCGGAATCACCTGAGGTCCCCCATCTGTGGGTGGGCTGAAGGACAGGGCCCAAGGAGGGGAGATTCTTTTCTGGGGGCCTGTAGAATTCTTGGGGTTCTCTTGGGCATTTGGAGGAAGAGTGTGGGAGAGGTCCTGCCCAAGGGCAGAAGGATGGACCCAATCACTGGAAACACCACCTGTGTGCCTGACTGGGACCTACCTGGGCAGGGAGGAAAAGCCCTGATGACCCTCCCTCTTGGGGGTTCACAGGCCTGCGAAATAGGGTGGACCCACAGTGCTTTGTGGAGTACCCAGAGATCACCTTAGGCCCATGCCAAAAGTGCCTGTGATCCTCAGAAGTCTTAATATCAGGGCAAAACAATCCAGTCGAACCGATGTCAACAAAGAGGGAATTTGTTGACTCAAATAACTGTACGTCCAAAGGGCCCTGTTTTCAGGCACAGCTGGATCCAGGGGGATCAAAAGGTGTTATCAGACCTTTCCTCTCTGCATGTGTTTTTTCTGTTTCCTTTGCCTTGACTTTCTTCATTTTCCAAGTGGTGGTGGTCTCTGGCAGCTCCTGGTTCATGGAGAGGTGCAGAGAAAAAGGGTTCAGGGTATAGGTTCTGAAGCAAGTATGTAAGGTTGAAGTCTTAGTTCTGCCCCCTTTCTATCTCTGGTCCTGGGAAGGTTGCTCAACCTGTCAGTGCTTTGGTTTTCTTATGTGCACCTACCTCATGAGGCCCGTGAAGATTGATAGTGGCATATGTAATAACTTTAGGGACACCAAAACTGGCATTTAGCTAGTGCTCAATAAATAGTAGCTGTTATTGGTGATGACCCTACCAGCCTTGCAATTCTTTTTTATGTAGCAGTGGAAAGAGAATTATCCTCAGTGTTCCAGCAGAAGACCCAGGACTGGTGCTCATTGGTCAGGGTTTGTTTACAGACCCCACTGTGAACCAATCACTGTGACTGATTGGCCACTCTTAGGCAATGTGCCTGCCCACAGGAACCAAGGGAGTAGACCAGTAGAGCCCGTGCCTCCTAGGCCACAGAGACGGCAGGGGAAGGGGTTTCCATTAGAAAAGGGGGGAGTGTGTTGGGCAGGCAGGCCCTCAGATGTCAGCCATTCCTGCTGTGTCAGAAGAGGGCTGGGCTTGGGAACCTGCATTTGCATCAGGCCCCTAGATACAAGTCTGCATTTGTATTAAGATCCCACTGTGGATACTGAGTGGATTCAGGCGGTAAGCCCACTCCCAGACCTTCCCACTCACAGGAGTCCTATGTATGGGTTACTCAAGTTAGGAGAGTGTCTCCACCCTCCCCAGAACCTTCTTGGCTCCCACTGCTCATAAGATCAAGTCTGGCCCTTCCTGACTGCCCTGTCTTCTTGTTCCACCGTGGCCTTGGTGCTCTCTGTTCCCCACTCCGCAGCCTCAGTGCCAGGCCACAACGCTCCTATGCACGTAGGCTCCTTCCTGCCCCTGCCTGGGCTGTGATCTGATGAGTTTGGGTCCAATCACAGCTGTGACCTTGGGCAGGCAGTTTTCTTGTCTTTGCCTCAGTTTCTTCACTGTATTTGAAAATGGAGCTAACACTAGAATCCACCCTATGTAGGGTAGGGGTAGGAATTCTGTGAGACCCAGCATATAAGTCCCTGCCCACTGACTGACATGGAGGAAGCCCTCGGTAGGATCCTCTCATCAATCAACCTGTATCTGTTGGGATTAATCTTCCTATTCCCAAAAAGTCCCACAAAACCCCCTAACAAATGAAAACAAAAGCAATAACTGAAGCAGATTAGTAGCTTCTGCGCTTGGATAAAAGAAATCTGGAAATAGGTGGTTTGGTGCCACTATGATGTCATTGGACACCCATCCTCCTTTTACTCTTCAGATCTGCTGTCCATAGCATTGGCTCCTGTCTTCTCCAGGGTTCTCTCATGATTAAAATGGCTGCTGGAGCTCCCCCAATCACATCTCATTCCAGGCAGGAAGTAGAAGGAAGGTGCAAGGACAGACATGGCACATCCCAGTTGTCTCCCACTCCCACCTTTTAGAACTTTCCAGGTAGTCCCACCCAGGAACATCTGCTTACATTTCACCATCCTTGTCTTTTAGTTTGGGCAGTTGCTGCCTGTGGTGGAATGGGATCTCTATTAACAGAGAGAAAGTGGGTGGTTACTGGGTTGGCAACAATTAGCCAAGTCCTGTTTCCTCGGAGCGCCGGTCTCAGGCTCCTCCCCACGGTAACCTTGATGGCCCTGCCAGGTACTCAGCACCAGCATCGCCCACACACTTGGCGCTGGAAAGTCAATTAACTTTAATTGGCTCCCCACTTAGAAGAAAGTATGAATTCAACAGTTTTCCCAACACCAGCTGGACAGCCCGGCCTGTGGAAGCGTGGGGGGGTGCTGCTGGCTGCTGAACCCTGAGGAGCAATGGCCATGGGGTATCCCTCAGGGTGCTGTCCAGCTCATTTTGTTTTGCTTTACACATGGTCCTGGTTGACCTTTATCTGTATGCTAGGGGTTCCCCAGGTCTCCGGCCAGACTTCTTGCCAGGGCCCTAGATCTACTTGACTTCTTGCCTTGCATGTCCCACAGCAAACTGCCTGTCTGAACATGACCTCAACGTCTTCCTCCCCTTGTCCATTTCTCAGTGCAGGGCACCACTGACCACCCATCTGCCCATACTGGAAACTTGCATCTCACCCCTTTCTCCTTGCTCTCCCTTGCTATCCTTTCCTTCCCTCTCATTCCTTCTGTCTCTCAGTATTTTGTTAAAAATCATTCAGCTTTTCAGCTGCACTATCCAGGACCCAGGCCCTTCCGCTCTCTACTTCACTTTTTTTGGGGGAAGTTGGTTTTTATCCAGTGCTTGTTGCCTCATGTTCACAGGATGGCTGCCACAGGTCCGGGCTTCATGGCTGCCTGCAAGACAGGAAGAAGGGGGTGGGGCAGGGCTGGCACCTGCTGCAGTGGTCCTTTCTATCCAGAAAGCAAAAGCAGACTTCCCCTGGAGTCTCTGGCTAAAACTGTGCCCCACAGCCACCTCTGGCTGCAAGGGAGGCAGGAACCTGAGTGTGTGTCTTTCCTAGGCTCAAGTTGGGGAATTTGGGAGAAGGGAGCTGGCCTGGGCACTGGTGTAGCCAACTGGCAGGGTGAGTCTGCCACCCCCTTGTACTGCTGACTCAGCCTCTTAAGACTCATTCATCTACTCTTCTTCTGCTTCCCTCTGTTACTAAGCCCGGCCACTGCCCTCTCTCTTCTGGCTGGCTGCAGTCAGCCCTGATGCCGCCAATCCATTCCCCACATGGCAGTCTGAGAGAGATTTCTAGAACACAAATCTGACCACATTGCTCCCTTGAGGAGAGCCGTTGGTGGGAGCCACTGTCCTCAGAGTCAAATCAATGTGTCATTCCCTGCATTATCTGGGTGCCCCCTTATCTTTCTCCACCCCTCTACTCAATGTCCCAGCTCTCTGGACTCATGGTCTTTATTTTCCCTCTGCCTGGAAACCTCCACCCACTCCACCTTTGCTCAGCTGGGCAATTCTCCCTGCTGCTGTTCCGTGGTGGGTGGCTACTTCCTTTGGGTTCTCATCACAGAGACCCAATTACTCTGGCAGTTCTTACCAATCCTCCGTAGTGGTGGGAACCCCAGCGTGGCCTAGCCCAGGGCTGGCCTTTGGAACTGTTGGTTAATGGAGTCATCAGAAGCTGAGAGGGATGTGGATGGTTCTCTGTTGTTGCCTAGCATAACTGAGCCTGGGCCTCCGGGCCTCCCCACCCCCAGGGCCGAATCTCCTTCTACATGACTAACTATGGCGAGGAGGGGACGCACGTGGGGAGCGCAGCCGCCCTGGACAACACAGACCTGGTGTTTGGCCAATACCGGGAGGCAGGTACGTCTGTCTGTGGTTTGGCTCTTTGGTTCCCATTGAGATTCACATTTTAATTACCCCAAGTGCTCTTCCAGGAACAGTATGCCAGAAAGATCTAAGGAGCTGGAGGAAGAACTTACCAAGCAACAAAGAGACAGGCCAGGTATAGGACTTCAGAGGGGGCAGACTTTACTCTCTGAGGGTGGGGAAAGTGTGGTGAAGAGCCTATGCGCAAGTTGTCAGGTTTTGGGTAAGTTACTTCCCTCCTGTCTCTGTCTTCAAATCTCCAGAAGATGATGATGGTATCTGCATTGAAGGGTCACTGGGAGGAAACAGTGAGGCCAGGCCTAGCTGTGGGTATGGCCTGTGCCGTGGACCCCATCTGGCCAGTGCAGGGCTCTCCTGGCCGCTCCTCGGGTGCTGCATGCTTTAGCGAGCCGGAGGGAGTGGGAGGTCCCTGACAGACGGGAATGCAGGGTAGCACCTGGTTACCTGGAAGAGTGGAAAGGAAGGATGAAAGAATAGGAATGAGGAAATCCCTGAGCATTAGTGAGTACCTGTGAGTGAAGGAGTTCCCTGGGGAGCAGTCAGTGGGTGTTCCAGGGGTGGTTGTGGGGGCCCTGCCGGGGAGCTACCCTGTGGGTATCAGTGAGCACCGATTATGCCCGGGAGGCAAATCTTGACCCTTCCTCTCTGATGCTGCTCCACCCTGGGCACATTGCTTAGCTGCTCTGTGCCTCTGTTTTCTTGTTTATAAGGGGAATGGTAGCCATTCTGAAGACACTGTTGGGGGAGTCATGGGACAGTTGGTGCCCAGGGCCTGGCACAGGGCAAGTACTCGGAGTTGCAGGTTGATGTGACTGCGCCTCACCCCGGGACAGCTCTTCAGCAAGGAGGTGGGGCCAGGCCAGGTGGCTGTCCAGAACCCTCAGGGACCAGCATGGCTTCCAATCTACTCTCAGACAGCCTACTCTCACGTTGGACCAGGTTTCCAGCCCCCACATGCTCTTGGAGGGCAAATATCCTGTGATACTTGTCTGAGGCTCAGCATCACTAGTGGGGAAAGCGGGATTTTTCAGCACCAGGGAGCCAGCTAGGCCTCGGTCAGCTGTGCTGAGCACCCCACCTGTTTTTGCTGAAGGAGTTTTCTTTTGTGAGGGCCCTGAGCAGGACTGAGTGAGGCTCGTGGGAATCACAAAAGGCTGTGGGGCTCCCCACACATTGTTTGGGCCGTGGCTACCTCTGTAGGGTTGACTGTCCAGCGCTGAGGGTCAGCAAAAGGTCCTGTGTGTGGGTAGCTGCAGAGGAGGCTCATGCAGGGGCAGGGCATGGAGCAGGGTAAGGAGGTAAGTCAGACTCGTGCTCCAGCCCTGACTCGGCAGGCCTCCTGCCTTGGTGACACTGTTGCCTTGGAGACACTGTGCTGACTTCTTAACAATAGTTAGCGCTTCCTGGGCTCTTGAACACCTAGGTGCTGCTCACGGTACTCTGTAGCATGGGAGGCTCTGTCATTTCCCTTCACGGTTGCCGCAGAGCGAGGGGCAGAGATTGTGTTTTCTCATTGAGGCACCTCTCCCAGCCACATGAGGCTGGCATTACTGTTGCTTCTAAAAGTCAGGTAAGATGGTCATTGGGCCCAGACCACGTGCTCCTAAGGCTGGAGCAGATTCCTTGTGGCAGGCTGACCCAGAGACAACCCTTGCTGTTCGCCATCCTGGGCCGCCCTCCCAGAGCTGTGTGTGGCATGCTGATGGTGGCAACAGCAGGGAGTGGCGCTCAGTAAAAAGGAGTGCTAGGAGGTGGCAGGTGGCAGCTAGAGCAGCAGTTCCCACCGGACCTGCCATGTCCTGATATAAGTCAGCATCCTTGGGTGCTGGGCCCGTGAATCTGCTATTTTTTCAGTCAGGGTTTCACTCTGTTGTTCAGGCTGGAGTGCAGTGACTTGGTCTTAGCTCAGCACAGCCTTCAGCCCCTAAGCTCAAGTGATCCTCCTGCATCAGCCTCCTGAGTAGCTGGGATTACAGGCACATGCCACCATACTCTGCTAATTTTTATTTTTTTTTGTAGAGTCAGCCTGTGTTGCCCAGGCTAGTTTTGAACTCCTGACATCAAGTAATACTCCTGCCTCCGCCTCCAAAAGTGCTTGGGTTATAGGTGTGAATCACCATGCCTGGCCAAATCTGCTTTTATTTTATTTTATTTATTTTAGTAGGAGTCTCACTCTGTCACCCAGGCTGGAGTGCAGTGGCACACTCACGGCCACTGCAGCCTTGACCCGCTGGGTTCAGGTGATCTTTCTGCCTCAGTCTCCTAAGTAGCTGGAACTATAGGCATGTGCCACCATGCCCAGCTAATTTTTTGATTTATTGTAGAGACGAGGTCTCACCATGTTGCCCAGGCTGGTCTTGAATTCCTGGGCTCAGGCAGTCTTCTTGTTTCCACCTCCCAAAGTGCTTCGGCCCCAGTACTTCTAATGTGGGTAGACCAGAGACCAGACCACATTCTGAGGAAGCCTGATCCCATGATCTTGTGTCAGGGCCTTGGTCCTCCTCCAGCCCTCCACAAGGCTCCCCGTTCCCTCTTGAACAAGAGCACCTCCTCTTCTATCTGTTACATATGCAGCATGACCACAGTTTGTGTGAATTTGTATTATGTCCATTCAAAAGCAGGGGACAGAAAATACTAATACTGTAAACTTGTATTAAAGATTAATGTTGAGGTAATGCTGAACACCCTCAACCTTAACTAAAATCTCAAGAAGTGCCTAATTTCAAAGCTGATTGTCCAAGCAGTGCTTAACTGTGTCTATGCTGGTGACTCACGGTGCACCCCTTTAGCTGAGAAACAAACACTTCCTGCTTCCCTTTCTTTGGCTCACTCTTGAATGGAGTGAATTTTGCGTCATGCCAGCTCTCTACTCTGCCTTTTAACAGTTGTGGATTGTGGAGTCAGTTATGGGAGCAAAAATGAGAAGGATGATCCCTTCTGCTTTATAGGGTCATGGTGAGGCTTAATCAAGTTACTCTATTAAAAGTGCTCAGAATAGTGCTTGGCATGCAGTGTTATCTTCATAGTTGTGATGGTTATTCAGGAAAGATGTACTTCCCTTGCCCAAAATGTGACTGCTGTGGAATGTGATCCCTATTAAATCTGCAGCTGAAGACATGTACAGTGAAGACAGGGGTTGGAAACCACTGCACTAGAGAGCTGCTTCTGTGTAATGCTCCTGTCCTCTTACACAGGCTGTCACTGATCCACCGCACTGCCCTAAGTGTAGGTGTGAGGGTTGTCTCCCTATCTAGGTGGAGCAAAAAGTCATAGAGACAGTCATAAACCTCTCCTGTCTTCCAACTTAGCTGGCAGAGCTCCCTTCACCCAGAGAGGGTCCCTTTGATGGAGAGGTGGGAGCCCACTCGAGGTTTTGTTTGAAGAAAGGGTTTTTATTATTACTTTTTGGAGTCGGAGTTTTACTCTGTCACCCAAGCTGGAGTGTAGTGGCATGCTCATAGCCACTGCAACCTGGACCTGCTGGGCCCAGGCAATTCTTCCACCTCAGCCTTCCAAGTAACTAGAACTACAGGCATGTGCCACCACGCTCAGCTAATTTTTCTTGATTTGTTGTTGTAGAGATGAGGTCTCGCCAAGTTGCCCAGGATTGCTGGGCTTAGGCAGTCCTCTTGCTTTGACCTCCCAAAGTGCGGGATTACAGGCATGAGCCACCATGCCCACCAAGAAAGGGTTTTACTGGCATAAACAGGCTAGAGTATTTCCTCTCTAGTCCAATGGATATAGACGGATTAGTGGCCTATACTGTGATTTGATTTATAATGATTTTTAAAAAGTAATTGAATTAGTTAAAAATACTTAAGAACCATAGTTTCTTGTTGAAAGAAAAAAAGATAGCAAGGGCCACAAAGTGAGATTCTGTCTCTAGAAAAACAAAAATTAGCCGGGCTTGTTGGCATGCATCTGTAGACCTAGCTTCTCGGGAGGTTGAGGCGGGATGATCACTTGAGTCCAGGAGGTCAAGGCTGCAATGAGCTATGGTTGCACCACTGTACTCTAGTGACAGAGAGAGACCGTGTCTTACAAAAAAAAAAGGTCTGGCTTTCCTTGGCAGCAGTCAGCTAGTGTAAACACCAGCCTCCCTTGAGACAGGCCTGTGCTTCCAGTCTGTCCCCCAGGTCGTGTGTCTGTGGCACCTGCCTGGTGTTCGTGAGCTTCATGTTTGCTTCCCTTGCTCAGACAGGAAAATGGAAGTCCTGGCAGCAAGGGACTCACCCAGGTCTCCCACAGGACTGGTCTCAGCCCCCTGTACCGCCCACCCAGCTAACCACGGCTTCCTCCTGCCCAGGTGTGCTGATGTATCGGGACTACCCCCTGGAGCTGTTCATGGCCCAGTGCTATGGCAACGTGAACGATCTGGGCAAGGGGCGCCAGATGCCAGTACACTACGGCTGCAAGGAGCGCCACTTCGTCACCATCTCCTCTCCACTGGCCACGCAGATCCCTCAGGGTGAGGACGTGTGCCCTGGGCCTTGTGCACGCAGCATCATGCCCAGTCCAGGCCCTAGCCCTTCTCCATCTCTTCTGGGCGAGCTTTGGGTTGATGCCACCACCACAGCCCTGGTTTGTGCTCCAGATTTCCAAGGTGCCTCTTGTCTGCCACCCTTCAGAGGAGGGCTCTGGTAGTGTCCCCACCCCCATGTGACCACACTCTGGATTTCCCAAACATGTGCCCACTCCATTTGTCAGCTCACATATGTAGCCAGTGTGTTCCGGAGTGTGCCAGGCTCCAGGCACTGTGCTGAGCTTTCTAATTGTCTAATAGGACATTCATCATAGCCAGGGGGCAAAGGCGATTATTTGCTCTTGTTCCTGTTTCACACAGCAAGAACCTATGTCGTGTGCAAGCGAGAGAGTGAGAAAAAAAGAGCAGGAAATTGAAGTCAAAGAGGGAAGTCACTTGCTAAAGGTCACATGGCAGCTTGGGAGAGGAGCAGGAACTCAAAGCATGGATTGTGGGACTCCAGAGTCCGAGTTCTGGCCAAACCCTTGCCTGCCTCAGTCCCCAGAGTCAAGCAGACTCCCCCAAGCTTATTCCGGGTGCCCTGAAGCCCCTACTGTTCAAAGGGGCTTGTTTGGGAAACAGGCCCACCAGGTGCCAGGCCTGGGCCCACACCGTGTGGAGACCAAGGAATCGGACCCTTGTCCTTGTCTGGTGGGAACTGCAGTCTGACTGAGGGTCAGTCTGGGCTCCAGCTCTCTCTGCCCTGGTGCAGCTGAGATGTGTTTGTGTCTCTAGAGGCCTCAGCAATGTGCCTGGCACAGTAGAAGGTGCCACACACCTTAGCTTCTAGCGTGCTGTTTGGGAACAGGGGTAGTTCAAGCCTCTTAGGTAGGAGGTGGACAGGGAAGTTTTCTTGGAGGAGGGTCCACTGGAGCTAAAGGTAATAGGGTTTCCCTAAGGCTGGGCCCTGGCCTGAATCTCCATTTGGGTGCCCACCAAGTCACTCACTTGGCAAGTGTACAGAGTTCCTGCAATGTGCTGGGCACCATTTCAGGTGCTGGGAACAAAAGACACAAACCTCAGCCCTTCTGGTACTGCTGTAGTGGTGAGGGAGAAAGGCAGTAAACAAGATGGAGAAGTAACACCTGGAGTATGTTGTCAGTAGGAAGCCACCAAGCTGAGGAGGGCATGGCGCGGTGCATGATGGAGACAGGTGGGGGGCATTACCGGAGGGTGACACGGAAGTACATCCCGGGAGGGGAGGGGGAGTCACGTAGTCTTGAGGCAGATGCAAGCCTGGTGTGTTTGAGAAGCCGAGCAGAGCCCAGTGGGGCAGGTGTGGAGGCAAAGGCCAGAGGGTGGTGGGACGGGAACAGATAGGGCAGATCGGGTGGGGCCTCGCGGCTTTCTTTTGCCTCTCACCCAGAGTGGTATGGGAGCCTGGGGTGGGGAGGGGTCTGCTGTGGAAGGACTTGGCCTGGCTCACGGAATGGAGTCCTCTGGCTGCTTTGTGGGTAATGGGTTGGAGGTGCGGAGTAGTGAGGAGGCTGCTCAGCAGCTCAGGCGGGACCAGGTGGCGCCTTGACTGTGTCCTGATGATGAGTCTGGTTCTGACTGTATTTTGAAAGTGGAGTGGATGTGGGGAATGACAGGAAGTTTGGAGTCAGAGGTGAGGCCCAAGTTTTTGGCCTGAGCAATTGGAAGGTCAGAGCTTTGATCAGCTCAGAGGGAGAAGGTGAGGGTGGGCAGGTGCTAGGGGACATTGGGAGGTCAGGTGTTTTTTTCCCCTTGGAGCCTGGCAGCGGCCAGCCTGAGCCCCAAACCCTTGGATTGGGGTGTGTGTGTCAGTGGGTGTGTGTCCCCACCCCAATTTACCACCCTCATTCCTCCACAGCGGTGGGGGCAGCCTATGCGGCCAAGCGGGCCAATGCCAACAGGGTTGTCATCTGCTACTTCGGCGAAGGGGCAGCCAGCGAGGGGGATGCCCACGCTGGCTTCAACTTCGCTGCCACACTCGAGTGCCCCATCATCTTCTTCTGCCGGAACAACGGCTACGCCATCTCCACGCCCACCTCGGAGCAGTACCGCGGGGACGGCATTGGTATGGGCCCTGATGGCCCACCCCCAGTCTGGGTCATCTCCTTCCCTCTCCCAACTGCCATCCCTGCCCACCTTCCTCTATTCTCTTCCTGTTACATGTGGGGGGTGGGCAGCATTTGCAGTGGTTGCTGAGGCTCCGTGAGCCCCCTCTTCACCTGTTAGTGCCTTCTCCCTGGGGCCGGGTGAGGGTACCTCCAGGACTACAAGCCCCTCTGGGTTGGGGGTGGGCATGACAAGTCAGTCTGTGGAACTTGGTCGCAGAGGTAGTGAATAGACCGACCATATCTCTGCGTTTGGCTCTGTACCTCCTCTGGTTTCTGCTTCCTGGAGCTTGAGGGTGGGGGAAGAATCCAGCAAGACTGACTTGGGACCGTCCCCAGCTTCTCCACCTTAGATAAATAAGGCCAAGGCCGTTGAGATATCTACTTCCTGGGGTGTCTGGCTCTGGGTGGGTGGCAGGAGACCATGAACTGGGTACTCTTTTCCTCTCCTCTCCTCTGCCTGCCTGTTTCTTTCCTTCTCACCCTATGCACTCCCTGCTGGCTCTGCATACTTTCCTCACCTGAGCCCTGGCCTGATAACCTTCTTTCTGTCCCCACAGCGGCACGGGGCCCTGGATATGGCATTATGTCGATCCGTGTGGATGGTAATGACGTGTTTGCTGTGTACAATGCCACAAAGGAGGCCCGGCGGCGCGCTGTGGCAGAGAACCAGCCCTTCCTCATTGAGGCCATGACCTACAGGTGCCTGCTTCTCCCCACAGGGCCTTCCACAGCTGTGACAGCCACCTAGCGTCTTTCTCATATCGATCACTGTCCCCAAAACATGGCCTCCTCACCCCATGTTGTATCCCCTTTCTTGCCTTCATTCCATTTCCACTCCTTCCCTAGTCCGTCCCCCCCCCCCCACTCCAGGAGGGCCCCAGGCTGACCTTCGGGCTCCCCATCCCTGGGCAGGATTGGGCACCACAGCACCAGTGATGACAGTTCAGCCTACCGCTCGGTGGATGAGGTCAGTTACTGGGACAAGCAGGACCACCCCATCTCCCGGCTGCGGCACTACCTGCAGAACCGTGGCTGGTGGGACGAAGAGCAGGAGAAAGCCTGGAGGAAGCAGTCCCGCAAGAAGGTGAGGCTGCCCACGGCCCAGGGACTGGGAGGCTAGGGGGCTGGTACATTGTGGAGAACTGGGAGGCTCGGGGATAACCCCGGTGATGTCCCGGGTGTGACCTGTAAAGCCAGGCTACTGGGCCCTCGTCTCCTCATCTCTGAAGGGTAATACTGGGGTGCCCACTTCAGTAGGTTGTTTGAGGATTAGGTGACTTAATCCATGTACAGTGTGCGTGCTCTGCCCAGAGCCAGCCTGCTTCCCTCCTTGGCTGGGTCATTAGGACCTGAGAGGTAGTACAGCCCAGTGGTGAGGGTAGGCCCTGGCATCAGGCAGAACTACGCATCCTGGCTCTGCCCCTGATCACATCACCATGGGCAAGTCCCTTCTTTTCTCTATGCCTCGGTTTCCTCATTCCTAAGCTGCCTACTTCTTAGGGCTGCTGAAAGCCTTAAATGAATCTACTTGGTCCAGTGCCTGGTCCTTGCTGAAGACAGAGATGCTGGGATTTGGGGGATGTTAGAAACGATGAATCCTCTCTGTTGTCCAGATGGAAACACAAAGGCTTAGATCAGTTAACCCCTCCTGAGGGCCAATAGGAGGAGGCAGGGCCTGGGTGGAATCCACTGCCTGCCCGCTACCCTGTGTTCCTGCAGGTGATGGAGGCCTTTGAGCAGGCTGAGCGGAAGCCAAAGCCCAACCCTAGCCTGCTCTTCTCGGATGTATATCAGGAGATGCCTGCCCAGCTCCGTAAGCAGCAGGAGTCCCTGGCCCGTCACCTCCAGACCTATGGGGAGCACTACCCCATGGACCACTTTGAGAAGTGAGACCCGCTCACCCCACCCACACCCACCTCAGCTGCCCTGAGAGGTAGCCCCACCTTGCCCAAGCCTGTTCCCTCTAAAATACTCAGGGGCCAGGGTGGTGCCTGAAACCGTAACGGGGTACTCGCTCCTCATCTCTGCTCCTCCAGCCTGTTACATTTGGGGGGCAATTTGCAGCGGTTGCTGAGGCTCCGTGAGCCCCCTCTTCACCTGTTGTTACAGTGCCTTCTCCCTGGGGCAAGGTGAGGGCGCCTCCAGGACTAGAAGCCCCTCTGGGTTGGGGGTGGGCACGGCAAGTCAGCTTGTGGAACCTGGTCAGCAGAGGTAATGAATAAACCTTGTCTCTGCGTTTGGCTCTGTACCTCCTCTGGTCTCTGTCCTGTGGTCTCTGCTTCTTGGAGTTTGGGGGTAGGAGAAGAGGCCAGCAAGACTGACTGAGAACTGCCCTCCGCTTCTCCACCTTAGATACATAAGGCCAGGGCCGTTGAGATGTCTATTTCCCCCGGAAACTTTTGCAAGCTGGTAGGTCAGCTCCAGCAGAAGGGGTGGGGGTGGAAGTCCTCCAGAGATGGTCTCCCATTTTCCCACAGAATGGGGCAAGCCTAGTGTCCAGCAGACTGACCAGAAGGCCTATGAGAGCTAGCTGTATCCAATATGGGGCTGGGGGGAGTGTCTAGTTTGAAGGTCAGGGTGCAGCTGAGCTCTGCTCTGCCACTCCGGGCCCCCACAGATGCAAAAACAACTCCAGGCCTTGAGTGGGGAGTACATGTTTTTCAGAAAACAAAAAGTAGACAGAAACAGTCCGCCTCCTCATCCGCCTGCCCAGTCCCTCGACTGGGGAGGCCCAGGAGTGGCTCAAACAGTCCAGGTGCTAGGCCCTTCTCCCTCACATCAGGATCTGGAAGCAGGGGCTGAGCAAGAGACAGATGGTGGAGGCCCAGTCCGGGGCTCAGACCAGGTCAGCCCAGCCCTGCCCTTCCTCCCCCCCGAGGCTTAGCACTGGAGCCGTGGGTCCTGCAGTTGTTTCCAGAGCCGAATACTGTCCTGGGGGCTGAGGGGCCGCACCAGCAGCAGGTTGCGGAAAGTGCAGTGATCCATGGTGCGGTCTGCTGGCCAGGCTGTGAGGAAGCCAGGGTGGGCTCGGGGCACCAGGCCCAGGGCACGGAAGCAAAGGCCAGTGTAGACGTCCTCGAAGGGGAAGGGTGCCACACGAGCTGCTGCCCGCAGCAGCCAGGGTGCCAGGCGCCCTGCGACGACATAACCACCCCCGCTTGCGTAGGCCGGGTAGCCGCCTTCAAAGAAGGACCCAGGCACATAGAAAGGTCCTCCAGGCTTCCGGAGGGGTGTGGCCTGGGTAAAGACCTCACCCAGATAGAGGCTTTGGGCCCAGGTGGGCGGCAGGGTCCGAAGGTGCTCCAGCAGGGCTGAGGTGTGCACGAAGGCATCATCCTGAGCTTGCAGGACAAAATTCACATGGGGGCAGTGGTGGCCCAGCCAGGCCAGCAGCAGTAGGTCTTTGAGCGTCCGGTTGAAGGGGACATCAAGGAAGTCCCAGAGCAGCAGGTCACCATAGCGACGGCTCTCCCAGGCCACCAGTGAGTCTAGGTCAGGCCCCGCCTCACCCACCGGGGATCCCAGCAGGAAGAGCAGTCGGATCCCAGGAGCTGGACTGCCCCACGTCTCCCTCACAGCCTGTCGCTCTGCAAAGCGCCCCGGTTCTGACTTGACGGCCAGCAGCAGGTAGGGCACATGGATATCCGAGCAGCTGGCCACTTGGCCACCACCACCTCTAGGCAGCCACTGCCGGAAGCTCCGGCAGGCTGCTGACAGCAAGAAGCGGCGAAGGTCCTCAGGGTAGGAGGCAAAGTCAGGGATCTCGGCAGCAGCGGCAGTCCCCCAAGCCTGGCAGCCCCCTGCCTCAGTGCCGTCCTCACGAGGCAGGGACCCCAGCCGCCACTGCTGCTGGTTCCAGTAAGCCAAGGGCAGCGGGCCAGACTGCCCCAGACGGGACGAGAGGTTGGCAGGCAGGGTGGGCTCGAGGCTGGCTGACGTTGGGCCTGGCAGGGTACCCCGGGGGCTGGGGTAGGCCTTGCTAAGTCGGGACTCCGATGTCCACTCGATGTACACTTTGAGGCCCAGGAGCGTGAGCAGTGCTGACAGGCAGAGAAGGAACTTGGGGCAGCGCATGACCCGGCCCAGGGAAGGGGAAGCCGTGGGAGCTGCGAGGGAGTCACAAGGGAGCCACAGAGGCCCTTGGGGGCACAGGGTGGGCCTCCAGAGAGGACCCATCCAGGCCCCAGGCAAACCAACAGCTTCACAGTCTCCAGCAGTGCCCCCCACCCCTGTGATGGCTTTGCTCAGTCCTCGACTGTAAACAGCTCCCTGGCCCAAGAACCCAACTGTTTCCTATTTCTAGATCTAGGAATCTCCCATTCTAGCACCCTGTGCTTTTGGCTCTTGGTCCAACTCCTTCCACCTTTCTAGTGGCTGGAGGTCTACTTCTTCCCATCTCCACCCCAGGGACCAGGCACCCTGCTGTTCCTATCTGCCCCCTCCGTCCGTTCATCCCCCTCGCCGGGAAATCAGAATCCCTTGACTCCCAGCTAGCTCGCTGGAGTTAGAAACCCAGCCTACCTCTCCGCAACATCCCCACCCCAGGGGACTGGGGAACCAGGATTGGGCTTCTCTTTACCTCTGGGTCCGGCTCCCGCTAGCTCCAGGCACCGGGCCTCTGGTCGGGCCCTCCCTCAGCTCCCTCTGTTCTGCCCTTGCCCCTGCGTTGTCGGTCTAGCAGCCCAGCCCAGCCCAGCCCAGCCCAGCCCAGCCCAGTCAGTCCAGAGGGGCGGAGAGGAGACGGGAGCAGAGCGCGGGCAGGGAGGGCCCCAGGGGCCGGGAGGGGCTGGGGCGGGGCTGAGGCCGGCGGGAAGGAGGGAAGGAGGGAGGGAGGGAGGAGGGCAGGAGGCCGACCTGAGATACGGGGCTCTGGCGTGTTGGGGCTGGTTTTCTGGTGAGACAGCCGGGAAAGGTGCAGGGGGTGGTCACGGGAACAGACGGGAACGTCTAGAGGCCTGGGAGGGGAAAGAGGCCACGGGTGGGTGAGGCTGAGGGCTGAGCCTGGGCCTGGGCTGGTTAGTGTCACAGAGTGACCAGGGGGAGGCAGAGTCCACAGAGGCAGAGATGGGGAGGCTGAGGGGCTGGCACCGGGCCGCGGCCAGTAGACGGCGATGAATGTGCTGAGTGGGAACAGATCGCCTGCCAGGGATAGGGATGTTTGTTGTTGATGCCCAGAGTCAGGGCGGGGGTGGGAAGGGGGTTGGGGAGGAGGAGGAGGGAGACACTGAGATGTCATGGAGAGGAAAGACAGCCCTGGAGACCTCAGGTAGGCAGGGAGGAGAGACAGAGGAAAGACAGGGGTGAGAAGGATGAAGAGCTGGAGAGAGAGAGGTGAGAAGGTGGTTGGAAGGGAGGGGAGGAGGGAGATGGAGACATCTAGAAGACCGGGTGGCTAGGAAGCCCCTGTGGAGTGCTCAGGGGAAAAGGGAGATTGAGAGTCAGATGGAGGGCAGAGGAGAGGAACCAAGGGAGAAAGGGAGGAGGGGGCTAGGGAGAAAGAACACTCGATGAAGATTGAATGGGGAGCCAAGCTAGAGGTCCGTAGAGAGTGATGGGGTGGTGTGCACAGGGAACCCCGGAGCTAAGCTGACCCCTTGAACCGTCTCCATCCCCTTCGGCCTGGGCTGCCTGCCCAGTGGGTGAGAATCTGTCCCTACCCCCCCCCCACCCCCCACCTCCAGTCTGGGAGCCAGCCTTGCCCTGGAGCCAGCCCCTCCCCCGGCTGTATGGTGACTCCGGGAACACTCACATCCGGCACCCCTGGGACTGGAGAGGGTGCCTGTGTTTACCTCCCTGCTCTCCAGAGGTCTCTACTGTTGGGGCTGCATCAGCTGTCTGGGGACCTCCTGGGCCTGAGGGTGGGACTAAGGGCCTCCCACTAAGTTTGGGCTGACCTCTTCACCCCACCCTGATTTGGGGAGACTCTCCAGCTCTCAGGAACCCAGTCTGCCAGCAGCAGCAGTTTATTATCTGCCCAGACCTGATTTCCTTCTCCCCACCCCCCAACCAAGTTTGAATAATGGAGCCCCTGGGAACAGCTGGGGGAAGAGAATGGGGAGGAAGTGGTGAATACTAATGGAATAAAAGCTAGAGTGGGGAATGACAGCCAGGGGCTGAGGGCAGGGGCCTGAGCATCCAGAGGGAGTCTGCAAGCCCACCTCAGCCCAGGGCTGGGGAGAGGGAGTCCAGGTCCCTAGAGCAATCCTGGTTCACCTAGCTTCTCCCAGAAGGTACAGAGGATCTCAGTCCGGAGGGTGGCCCTGCCCTTTCTGGGGTTGTAGGGAAGTCGTGGTGGGGGCAAAGTTCTGTATACTGTGTGCGTCAGCCTGGGTCCAATCAGGAGAGGAAAAACCACACAGCAACTTGAACAGGGAAAGCTTAATATGAAGAATTATTGACTTTAACAATGAAATGGAATAATGAGGGGTTCATTGGTAAAATGCCTGTGAACGGACTGGGGCAGCTATCTGTAAGCATGCATGGGCATGCTAAAGGATTCATGCAACAAACACCCTTGCCTTCAGATCCCTCAGTGGAGGCAGTGTCCCCTGTAAAACCACTGGGCGATGGAGGGTGTCAAGGGCAGCTGCTGACCACCTGGTATTCTGGAGCTGGGTGCTGGGGAAGCCACATGCGCATCGTGGAACTCAGACCCAGGAGCAGCAGCAGATGCAGCAGGAGCACACCCAACAGGGAACTCCTGCGCCCCCTACTGACAAAGCCTGTCATTGCCAGTTGGCAAAGGAAAAATATTTCAAAGGCTCAGATTCGTTTTCACAGAGCAGTCACAAAAGTTGACTTTGAAGCTTTATTGAAAGTCAGTGAATCGACAACCGGTGACACAATGGGTCCTGGGGTGCTACTAGCCTTTAGTGAGTGTGGGCCCAGGACGCTGCACCTCCAGTGCTGAGCAGAACAGTCCCACACAGGAAAGAACCATCCCTGTAAAGTGCCAGAAGCACCCCGTATCAGTCAGGGTTAGAAACGGCAGCACGCGCAGATGAGAACAGTTTTGGAACAGTCTCCTGATGGGGTGTGGGCTGAATGTGGGGGGCCCTGGAGTGAGGGCAGCTCTCTGGGGCCACTCATAGCCCAAGCCTTCACCTCCCTAGGCCTGAAAAGGCAGAAGGGAGGAGAGGTGTGCAGACAGCACGACAGAAGCTGTGTCCCTCTGTTGAGGGCAGCCAGGAATAAATACCGTGACCTCATGCTCTCCTTCCCTCTGCTCTTCAGGGCCACATCCCCACCCCTGTGTTAAGTGAATCCAAACAGAAGCCAGAAGTGTGGCAGGCTGTCAGACATGCCACGCAGCCCCCACAGGCCCTGCCTGAGTTGGGAGGGAGCTGAAAGCTAGGCAGGAACAGGGCTGGCTGTGTCCTGAGGCTGTTCCTCTGGCCCCAACTTCAGGCCTTCGGCCCAGTTGGTCCCAACGACCTCACAGTTGGGCAGCATCTCCTCCACCAAGATCTGAGTGAGGCCTGGGTTGGACACGGCAGGGAGGTCTGAGATGTCCAGCCTGCGAAGGTTCCTGAAAGGGGGTGAGAAGGACAGCAAGTCAGATGTAAGGATGACACGTGTGTGTGTGTGTGTGTGTGTGTGTGTGTGTGTATGTATGGGGGAAGTACTGGCCCCAATTTCAACCCTAGCTTCCTAAAATAAAAAGAATTTTTTTTTTGAGTTGGAGTCTCACTCTGTCACCCAGGCTGGAATGCAGTGGCATGATCACAGCTCACTGAGGCCTTGACTTCCTGGGCTCAGAATGATCCCATCTCAGCCTCCCGAGTAGTTGGGACTACAGGTACTTGCCATCACACCTGGCTAATGTTTTTTTTTTTGAGTCGGAGTCCCACTCCTTTGCCCAGGCTGAAGTGCAGTGGCACACACACACATAGCCACCCCAGCATCGACCTGCTGGGTTCTGGTGATCTGTCCACCTCAGCCTTCCAAGTAGCTGGAACTACAGGCGCGCGCTACCATGCCCGGCTAATTTAAAAATTTTATTGTAGAGATGAGGTCTCGCCAAGTTGCCTGGGCTGGTCTTGAACCTGCGGGCTCAGGCAATCCATTCGCCTCGGCCTTCCAAAATGCTGGGATTACAGGCTGAGCCACTAAGCTTGACCTGGCTAATTTTGTGTGTGTGTGTATGTGTGTGTGTGTGTGTGTGTGTGTGTAGAGATGTGTGTGTGTAGAGATGGGGTCTCGCTATGTTATTGCCCAGGCTGAAAAGAAAAACAAATCTTTTTTTTTTTTGAGTTGGCGTCTCACTCACTGCTGGAGTGTGGTGGCACCCTCATGGCCACTCCAGTGTCCACCTGCTGGGCTCAGGTGATCCTTCCACCTCAGTCTTCCAAGTAGCTGGAACTACAGGCATGCTACCACGCCCGGCTAATTTTTTGATTGTATTGTAGAGATGAGGTTTCGCCAACTTGCCCAGGCTGTTCTCGAATGTGGGGACTCAGGCAATCCCCTCACCTTGGCCTCCCAAAGTGCTGGGATTACAGGAAAAACAGATCTTTATAGCTGTCAAAGCACATGAAATCCACTGTGTGAATTGCAACTATGCATCCCTGGCTTCTACTGTTCTGCAACAGTGTGAATATCATGGGATTTTCATTAAAACAAGAAGAAAAGACTCACTGCGAATGCTCCTGTGTGAGTACCCACTACAAACGCTCTAGGTTTGTGATGGTGGCTGGAGAATATGGGGACCTGCCCAGCTGCACCCTCCCCTGTCTCCTGTATCTATGACGGGTGGGAGGTGCCCTGGCACAGGGCACTGAGGTCTCACTGGAGGTGGTGGAGGCAGGCGAGGCCCCGTTCAGAGATGCGGGGGCAACCGGCCAGCGAGAGCTCCTCCAAGGAGTTGGCGAGTGAGTGGAGGCGGCTGAGACACCAGTCGTCCAGATGGGGGCAGCATCGCAGTGACAAGGACCGGAGCTCCTTCAGGGCCACTGTAGGGGGAGAGGGCAGGATGGCACCAAGGCCCTTCTGCAGCCCACCACCCAAGGGAAAATGCAGAGGCCTTTTTCATCTCCACTCCACCCACCCACCCCACTCACAGAGGCTGTTCAAACCCTCGTAGTTGATGTTACAGCCACTGGCATCCACAGCTTCGACTGGCACCGCCTGGAACTGCAAGAACTCAAGAGAGAAATGGCCACGCTCATTTGGCCTGACCCACTCCTTGTCTCGAAACCTGGAAGGGGGAGAGGAGGAGTATTAGCAGGGCACCCTACCCTTCCCCAGGCCTCCAACCTTTGGAGAACCCACCCCAACCCCGTCAAATAAAATTATTATACAGTGTCTGGTGCGCTTCCCCCAGAAGCGTCAGGCTCTGTACTAAAGGGCTTTACATGTGTGGTCTTATTGGATCCTGTGGCAATCTCATTGAAGATGGAATGCCAATTGTGCATACCAGGAGACTGAGGGTTAGAGAGATTACAGACAACATAAGACCAAAGAGGGAAAACATAAGAATGTTTGCAGATGGGCAAAAGTTAAGGGACATTTTCAAATGTGTACACTGTTTCTCAGGAAGCTGCTGGAGGAAGTGCTTAAACCAGAAAGTTTTAACTGAAACAAAGATGGGGGTAGATAAAAGTCTACATGAACTGTTTTTAAAAAAACAATCAACCAACCAACCAACCAAACAAAAAACAGAGTGGAAGAGAAAGGAAAGCAGGGGAAAAGAGGAAAGAGAAAAATTAACAGAATTGAGCACACATGCTGTGCTAGGCCTCACTGCAAATGTTTAGATTGCAAAATTCCATTCAGTCCTTGTATTTTTATTTATTTTTTTGAGTAGGATTCTTACTCTGTGCCCAGACTGAAGTGTAGTGGCACGATCATGGCCACCGCAGCTCCACCTGCTGGGCTCAGGCAATCTTTCTGCCTTAGCCTTCCAAGAAGCTGGAACCACAGGTGCGTGCCACCACACCCACCTAATTTTTTGATTTATTGTAGAGATGAGGTCTCGTCAAGTTTTCCAGGCTGGTCTCAAACCCCGGGACTCAGGTAATCCTCTTGCCTTGGCCTCCCAAAGTGCTGGGATTGCAGGTGTGAGCCACTGTGCCTGGCTTAGTCTTTTTATTTTTATTAAAAAAATTTTTAGCCAGAGTCTCACTCTTTCACCCAGGCTGGAGTGCAGTGGTACAATCACAGCTCACTATAGCCTCAACCTCCTGGGCTCAAGTGATCCTCATGTCTCAGAGTAATTAGAAGTACAGTTGTAGCCAGGCTCGGTGGCTCAGCCTGTAATCCCGTGCCTTTGGGAGGCTGAGGTGAGTGGATTGCCTGAGCCCGCGGGTTCGAGACCCGCCTGGGCAGCCTGG